TCCATTAATTCGTATACATTTCTTACCATTACCACAATTGGACTTCGTCAAATCCTTTCGTATATTTCAATAGTTCTAGAGCTGCCAAATTTGGTTATTGCTAGCTTTGTTCCTTTTTTTTTCGTTCTGAGAGTGAATGTTGTGAAGTAGCGCCATCACTCAGCCAGAAAAAGTCATTAACTTGTATTTATCTTGCTAGGAATTCTCCAAATGGCAGCAGGCCTACAGTGTAGCCTGTTGCAGGAATTGGAACAGTGTGCGATGTCTCTGAAAATTCCGGTTACCTATGGAACGATTACATCGGTTTCATAGCGATGCATGGGGAAATGGTTCAGCAATTAACACCACTGACTGCTGTGGAATTCATATGCGTACCATGCCATAGCGGTCCTGTGGCTTATTTTACGGTATGTTTATTTTAAAAATTTAATTTTTTTGGTTTGGAATATTTTGTTTAATTTTTAATGATAAATTCGATAAATTCGGTGGGATTTTACAAAGTATTGTGTAAGAGAAATTTTTTTTCGAATTCTCTTCTGGAAAATATGCAATATTATCGGAATTTTGGTAGTTTTTGGCAGCCGCTGCGATTACTTGGGAATTTGGGGTGCAAAGTAAGAAATGCGTAGAATAAGCGATAATTTTTAAGTTTCCGAAAAAGTAGGGTATGTTCTTTTAAATCATTGCGCTGCCAGAAACATTAAAACCAATTTCAACATAAGTTTTATAAGACCAGTGAGGGGGGATTTTCTTCCACGCTACAGATGAACATATGAGTAAGCAGCCTACGTCTCATCCCTTTGCTGTAAACATAAACAACACAAACACGATTGCTGTAAACATCGTGTTAGCGTTTCGTTCATATTGCTACTTCCTCCTCTCAACATTTTTCCACTTCTACATTACAACCTTCTAATCCTTTTCAATTACTCTAAATTTATACTTTTTAAAAAATTCTTCCCGTTCCTATCTTCTTTTTCTTCCTGCCTTCCATTCCCTCTTGTTCTCATCTCTGAACACTGCGGCCGTCATACTGACGAGGTCCAGTCGC